AGCCAGCATTAGGGCTAATGTAACATAACTCTTTAACATCACATTCCAGCACACCAGAGAAGTAGGTGGTACAGTATGGACACTGTGCAGAATAATCCTGGCCAGTTATAATATTGCACACATAAAATGAGAAATAAAGTAGTAATAATAAAAACAGAACATGAATCCAGGAATCACCACTCATACTTTGGTGATCAGACATACGATTCATTCTTAACACTATCTTATTTGGTTTACAAGCCAAATTAAATCTTCCAACAGATCAAAGTGCCTTCTGTTTCTAGCAATATTTAATTCAAAACCAGGGAAGGGAAGCTTTAACAAGTCACCGTTTTCCCAATGTTAAGTCATACAAAAAGAAAGCAGGCAAGAAGGAAAGACACATGATAAAACATTCCAGGAGAACCAATGATAAGCAGTACATGAGGAGACAGAAATATCTAAATAATACAAAACTAAATAATAAACTTGTGGATTGCTGCCAAGCAAAAAACAAAAAACAAAAAAAAACAAAAAAAAAACCACCTTGTGATGCTCAAGATGGCACACAGGGGATATTCACTGTATCACTACTCCCCAGGCGCTTCAGTTGTTAAAGCCAATGTTGAGTGTTTCAATGGCAATCGTGAAATCTCTCTCAATACACGGCAGAATTATTCCGCGTATTTTTTCATTAAAATAAAGAAATAAGAGAACGCCTTAGCGCGGCAGGGCGAATTCGCCGGCCACAAGCGCTGCCATGAGGCCGAAGCGGCCCCAGGCGCCGTGCCCAGCCCGCGGCCTCCCCTTCCGCGCAGCCCCTCAGGCCCGGTCAGGCCCGGGCCGCCCCTCACCCCAGGGCCGGGCACACGACGCAGCGCGGCCCGGCCCAGGCCAGCCTATCCGCCCCTGGGGCGGCACTCCCCGCGCCCCCCACCCCCGGGGGACGCCCCCGGTCCCACAGCGCGCCCCACGGGCCCGCGGCGAGAGGCGCTGCACGTTCACCTCCTGCGGGCGGCGGCCGCCTCGCCTTCTCCCCCTCCGCTCTGCCGTCCGCCATTTTCCCCCGCCTCCGCCTCCCGCGCAGCGCATGCGCGCCGCGACGCCGCGACTCCGCCGCCTCCCGCTCCTCCCACGACCATGGAGAAGGCACAGCGGCCGTACCGGAAGCGGAAGCCGCGCAGGGAGGGCGGAAAGAAGTGCAAGCGGCGCTCGTGTGGTACACTTCCGGCAGGCGGGGGCCAGAGCCGGCGCGAGCTGAGTAACGCTCTCCGGACTGCGGCAAAGTCATCCCGCTTCCCTCTCTCCCAGCCGTTTCCTCACTAGAAAAAAAAATAAAATCAGAGGGCCCCGTTCTTCGTTTTCCTGGATACAAACCACTACATGCGATCGGTAATTTGAAGCACCAGTGACGCAATTGATGAAATCAAGACGCTTTAATTGCCTACGAACGAATCCAGATGCTTCTCGCATTCCTACGGTGCCCATTGACGCCCTGCAGTCTGACCACCGGCTGCTGCAGACTGATCCATGTACACTGAGCTGTCATAAAACATAAAAGGCACTCTGCACGTCTTTAAGTATTCACTGAGATGACTTCATCATCTCAGAACTTCCAGTAGTCTGGCAAATGTGCAGTACACAGACTGAAAACAGTCATTCGCAGGGAAAAGCCACTCAAAAGAGCGCGAGGTATTTTTTGGCAGGTTCAGGAAACTCTGGGATATTCTTTCCTAATTGTGAATTCCTTTGTCCCAGAACACTCAGAGACAAACCGCGCAACTTCCACAAACTCCCCAAACTCACGTTAAAAGAGCAGAGAACCATTGGCACAGGCTGCCCAGGGAGGTGTTGGAATCACCATCCCTACAGGTGTTTCAGAACTGTGTGAATGTAGCACTGAGAAACATGGCTAGTGGGCATGGTGGGACGGGTTGGTGGTTCGATTAGATGATCTTAACGGTCTTTTCCAGCATTAACAATTTTGTGATTCCATGTCTAATGTCAGTTTATGCACCAAAAACAAGGAAAAGTGTCTTCTTTTTGGTCTCGCCTCATCTTTTAGAATAAGGCTGTGGATTTGCAAACCCACAGCACTCAGGTATTCCTTGGAGAACAAACTTCATATTTTGTAAGAATCACCCTTAGCCATTATGACTCTAGTGAACAGATTCATACACGGTGCAATCTAATTTCTATTGCATAATTTCAGAAGCGCGCAAGTAAATTCAAACAGGCCCAATAACACAGTCATTAAAAACAGAAATGCTCTAACAAAAGTCTTTTTGAACTAGTCCAATAAATTTTAGTGACAAACAGTAATTACAGAATACAGTCCCAGAAGTCTCAAGAAACTGGCACATTTAGGGTTATAGCTTGCTGTGAAATTATTTTCTTCTCCATCACTCTATTTTTGTGTTAGCCTCTTGGGGTAGTTGTTTGCAAATCGCTTTTGTAATTCTTCTGGTCTCTTCCCAAGTTTAAGCATGTTGATCAAGTTTAAGGTTTTTTTCAGTTCATGCATAGGCTTGTTTACAAAGCCACAGTACTTTCTTTTGGGAACAAATTCCAGAGCCTTCTTCCAATCTCCAGTATCTTTCAAGGTTAATAAAATATGCATCATCTGATCCAGCGTGAGATTTTTAGCACCAGAATTCCACAGCAAGTATTTCTCCAATGGAAGGGCTGCAGTCTCTAGCCCCAGTCGTTTTGCCTGTGCTAAAGAAACTCCTGTTTTTATACTCTTGTCAACTATAGACCCGACAATGTAGATTTTGTTATGATCAAAAGTTTTCATTACTTTGGGAGAATCAGCAGTCAGATAGACAAGCTTATCCTTCGGAAAGATGTTTGTGTAGCACTGGTCTGTCACTGTGATAAGCAGTTTGTCCCACGCTCCTCTATAATATTTGATAAATTCCTTATGATACAGACTATCATCTTTGAAATTACAGAAGTGAATGTGGAATGGATCCACAGATCTTCGATTACAACCTTCACTTAATACTATTTGTCTCACTGTATTTGCTACTTCCCTGACAGACATGTACTTTTCATAAGACATATCAAACACTAGAGGCTGGCCAAAGATCATGGACTGAGCAACTCTCCAGTTGTATGCTTTATCCATAGAGCTGCTCCACAAACAAACAAATGGATTCTTCTTGGGCTCTTCAGTTTCTGAAGCTCCCTCTTGTGTTTCCAGCCTCCTTTCCCTTTTTTCATCCATCTTTCTTTTGTTACTTTTCTTGTACAGTTCTTTAAGATGCAAAAATTTTAAATACTTCTTTTGGGCTGATTTGGAAGGACATTCTATAAAAGCTTTTAGCTGTTCTTCACTGATTTTTTCAGGAACTGCTCTACCAACTAGCCTCCACAACTCCAAAGTCTCACGTGCCGCAGCCAAAGCAGAGATCTCCTTAGGCTCAGAGACTGTCTCACTGACATCCTGCAACCCAGACTTCATTACTTTCTTCCACGCATCTAAATCTACTTTTTCTGAGGAACTGCGTGAATTGTCCTCTTTCAGGCAAGGTGAGAGAATCAGAGTTCTACTCAGTGGAAACAAATCTCGTTTCATCCCATGCTGTATTGAAAATGAGAAGGCAGAGCATCTTACAATTTTTTTCAGAAGCATATTAGCAGCCCGCATACTTGAACATGTGCTGTGTTCAAACAATTATCTGCAAAAAAGCACAAGAGGGGGAAAAACTTCTCAGAAGTCATGAAGAAAACATAAATGTTCATCCTTATTACTGCGGACAGACAGCAAGTTACTTCCTGAGGAATACCAGGAATTCCTGCTTCCACTATTGCTTTTCTACTGTACTTAAAAACAACGTATATGGCACTGTTATGAACAGGTGTGTTTAGCTCTACTGCTTAAAACAGCTGTACCTAATGCAATTCAAAATGCAGTCAGTCTCTCAGTAGTGTCCATTTTCATCTACCATTTGACAAATATGACCTTTGCAACAGAAGCAAGCAGAATGCTGCATGGAGACTGAAAATAACTTAAAACTACATCCAGACACCTACCTAATTTCTTTTTTATTTTAGTACCTGTTTTAATTCTTCTATATGCTTCCATATAATAGGACGCTGAGCTCCTACAACTACCACTGCTATAGTTTTGCAAAGCCAACAGTACTGCCAAGGAAGGAACGCTTATATATCTTGAGGTCCTTATTCCTGGCTCCCTTAGCAGCACAAACACTCGGCCCTTCACTGTAAGAAAGATATTGAGGCTATGGAGAGTGTCCAAAGAGAGGCAATGAATCTGCTGAAGGGTCTGAAGCACAAACGTTATGAGGAACAGCTGATGGAACTGTGATTGCAGACCTTACTGCCTCCTACGGCTACCTGGAAGGAGGCTGTAGTGAGGTGGGGGTTGGCCTCTTCTCCCGTGTGACAGGGATAGGATAAAAGGGAAAGGCCTCAAGTTGCACCAGGGGAGGTTCAGGTTGGATATTAGGAAAAGTTTCCTCTCAGTAGTGATGAGGCATTGACACAGGCTGCCCAGGGAGGCGGTGGAGTCACTGTCCCTGGAGGATTTCAAAAGCCGTGTGGATGTGGCACTGAGGAATACAGTGGGCGCATGGTAGTCATGGACTGATGGTTCGACTAAGATGATCTCAGCGGTCTTTTCCAACCTTAACAATTCTATGATTTCTGAGGCTGCACTATGAACCAAACCCAAACTGATCTTAAGGCCAACTGCTGGGGAGAGGAGGAATGCTAATGATCAACCCTACTAAAGGAGAGTACATACCTGGGCGAGCGCGGCTAACAGTTCCCGCACGCCACTCCGATCCTGGCCGCCATCTCCTGCGCGTCGGGAAGGCGGGAGCGCCGCTCCGCGCGTGCGCGGGGAGGAGTCAGTCCGTTCGCTTTCTTGCCCGGGCCTGCTGGCCGGTCTCTGCGTTCTGTGGGTTCTGAACAGTCGTTCCGGCGATCACCTGCCCGTTGCAACGGTCGGAGCCCCAGGGCTGTATATCCGCGCGTTTGGGCTCCCGGCATTCATTTTGTCATCTTTCATCTTTTTTTTTTTTTTCTTTCTGTGATCATCAGGAGAGGGGGGGTCGGTAGAGGCTGCGCGCTGTCAGGATGAGTTTCCTGCTGCCCAAGCTGAGCTCTAAGAAGGAGGTGGATCAGGCCATAAAGAGCGTGGCAGAGAAGGTTTTGGTCCTCCGGTTCGGAAGAGATAACGATGCTGTCTGTCTGCAGCTCGATGATATTGTAAGAGGTCTTTTTTTTATCTTTTTCCTTTTTTTTTTTTTTTTTTTTTTTCCTCAATATAAATGAAGACTCCAGATATACCTGTTGTTCACAGGACAGTGCCATAGGTTGTGTTTGGGTGATAGGGTGCCTGATAAAGATGGTGGTAGTGTTTGCAGCTGACACTTAAAAGTAACACGAATTCATACCCTCGACAGTTTGACACTTTAGCATGCATGCGTGTATAAAGTGCTAGAGGTAGATGGGACATTCCAGCCCTGCTTAAACTGATAGGATCTAATGGAGATGGGCTTCATAAAGCTTGATGCCTTTATTTCCACTTCTGCCTCAATCCATTTTCTCCCTGTCTGCCTCATTCTTGTCAGCTTGCCAAGACAGCTCATGACCTAAGTAAGATGGCAGTCATCTACCTGGTGGATGTGAACAAGGTTCCTGTGTACACCCAGTATTTTGACATCAGCTATATTCCATCCACCGTATTTTTCTTCAATGGACAGCACATGAAGGTTGATTATGGGTATGTCATCTCACCTGACATTGTCTGTTACATTTATAGTAATTTAACAGTCTCTGTGTTACCTTGTCTACAACAGGTAATGCTTGAAAACTGTATTGCTGTTGATAGAATCTGCACTGATATGTGAGAAGGTGGAAGTACGTAGCATTAAAAAGTAGTTTGAAACACTCTGACATTGTAAGTAGGTATCAGCTGTGAAATAATGCTGGACTCTGCAAAACAGGGCATGATTAAAACCTTAGACACAACACTGCACCTTCTTGGACTTCGGATATCAGGTCATAGTATATTCCTGACTTGGTTGATGTGGTTCTTTCAGAATCAACAAGTCAAAATCTTTAATTTCATTATACAACTTTTCTTGTCTATGTTTTTGTTTTGAATGTTTCAATACTACTTTTATTCTATGCTTATCTTTAGGTCTCCAGATCACACCAAATTTGTAGGAAGCTTCAAAACAAAGCAAGACTTCATAGATCTGATTGAAGTGATTTACCGTGGTGCCATGCGCGGAAAGCTTATTGTGAGAAGTCCTATCGATCCCAGCAATATTCCTAAATATGACCTTCTTTACCAAGGAATTTAGTGGCTGACCTGAGTTAAAGAGTTATGGGAATGGCAGATATTCTAGATATGTTTTTCCTCAGCATTTTTATCCACTGCTGACACCATGGGACACTTTGAGCGTTTATGGTGAAGGATCATATTGGTCTCTTTCTGAAGACAGACATTCTGTCACTTAGTACTTCTGTCACAAATAAAGCTACTTGTTAACATCTACAATTCATGTAAGTGACTGTACTTGAGTGTCATGCTGACCAGCAGCTGTAGAACAGATATGCTGCTTGTATGCATAATGATGGCGTCAGCACAATGTTCATAAGTGAACTAAACAGTAGTGTACTCTATTAATTCAATACTACTTTCATTCAAATATGATATTAGCCAAGCTGTATTTAAAAAGCTGCAGTTGTTACTGAAAGTACTTACTTCTCTGTGCCTTTCCAATGGAATTTTATATTTCTACCCATTACTACGTAACGGTATGAAAGCTTTTTCAGACAACATCAGAAATTACTAAAATCAGAAACAGATGAACATAATAATAACAATAAAGGGAATTTGACACTGTTTTTTGTTCCCAATCTTACTGTTCAGCAATTATTTTTTTCTTAATAAGATGGGATCTGAAGATGTAGGGCAAGGCACCATCAGCCTTCAGAGCTCTTTTACAGACATGGGGTGCTTTTAATTCCCACACAATTAAACTGGAAATTCAGAATAGCTTTTTCTTTTACATATTCTTTAAAAACTATTTGGCTTTTTCCTTTAGTAATTTGCAAGCCTTTCATGTGGACACTTAAACTGTTTCCCACTTCTATAAAAGATAAAACAGCTGAGAGGAAACAGCTACATCATTCTCTTGTATCAGTTCGATAACTGTAGGTTGCTAACATTTTATAACCCCAGCAAGTCACTCTGTGTAGCCTCACTGATATAGTTGGATTTAAAATTGCACATTTGCATACTTTGTGTATTCCAGAATTGTCCTTTTATGCACTTAAGAAATTAGAGTTTTGTTGATCATTTAGTCCAACTACAAAGCTGTCACCATACAAAGTACAATTTAAAAGATTGTACAGACAAGTGTTGATATATGTTAACATCTTTATTTTGTGCAGCTTTAAATGTCACAGCTAGCTGAAGGGATATGACCTAAAGCTTTCAAGAAGGCATTTTTTTCCTCACGGTTAACTTCATTTTTGAGCAACACAAAAATACAAGTGTCTTCAAACTTAAAACTGTAAGTCTCTCCATAGTGAACGATCTTAGTTGTAGGGATGGTTATGGAAAAAAGAGATTACTATCAAAACCCAAGTCAGTGTACCTTGATTTACCAACTTTTGCTGCTTCGAGTTGCAATAGGTGAACGTGTAAAGGCCGTGGTGGTCTTGGCTTTCAGGGTGCTGTTCAGGTACTTAAAGATGGAACGCAAGCAGTAGGAAGGTGCTAAGCTATACTTTTCAGTTCCAGCAGAGACAGTTGGACAATTCACTTTGACAAGGGAGCCTACAGCTTTACCTAAAGGCTTATTGTTTGATACCCATTCACGGCAGTGTTTCTGTATCCACCATTGTATCTGCAGGTCATCTCTAGCCTGATGCTGTATATTGTGCATGGAATCGATGAATGCCACAGAAAACACTTTATTCATCACTTCCCATTTTCTCTGCACGAGCAGATCAATGAACACCAAACCACCATAGCCATGTGCAATGAAAGCCACATTCTTGGCTGCGCTTTTAGAAATGAAATGATCCCATACATATATGGTATGCTCCTCAGGGCTACTGCTGCATCGCTTGGTGATCCACTGGCAGGAATGCATAGAAGTCAGTGATTCTTCTCTGGTAGCATAGCTTAGCTTCTCCCTTTCAGTCTTCAAGTCAATGAGATTGTCATTGGGATTCAGTACAATCACTCCCCCGTGGCTTTGAAGGGCCATTTTGATGAACGGTATTTGTGTTCCATGGTACAGCCCCTCACTGATGATTGTCTTGTGTCCCCACTGGCCAGCACGAAAAACTCCACGGTCCTGAAGAAGGACAATTATGCTAGAAGAACTTGTTAGTGCTTTCTCACTCATAAAAAAGAAACTTCTTGGTTCATCCTCTGTAGCGTCAGAAGGAATATAAACTTTTTGCAGTGCACAGACTCTTTCCAGGAGCTCATAAACATACTGGGTAATCATACGTCCTAAAACTTGATAGCGTTTATGATTCTTCTCATAGGTGTTTTTGTAGTAATTGAAAACAAAGGACTCATTCGTATCCAGATGCCTCAGTTCCCCTTTTTCATTAAAATCATACTTCAGTTCCTCTTGATAATCTGAACCCTCTACTAGTGTCCTCAAGCTTAGTTCATGTCCTGTTTGTAACCACTGCAAATTAAGAAAATTATGTTGATGTAATAATAGACCACCATACAACAGTTACATAAAGCATGCTGTAGTGTAATCAATATTAACATGTGGTAACACACAAAGCAAACACACACTGCTCAAAAGCCAGATTCCTTTTGCAACAGCAGTACACTGATACAAACCCTTCCTTTGTAAGCACTTGCAATGTGGAAATGATAGAATAAATGACAGAATTAATTAGTGTGATCTGAGAATAAGGAGAAAGGAGTCCATGCCTCAATTTTCCCCACAAGGTTACTACAGCTGAAAATGGAGACCATCATATGATTTTTCAAATTGTGCGATCAGTTGACAACAATTATGCTAGGAACAGCATGCCCATTTTCCCTTTGAGTAAAGTGCAGAGAAAGTATCCTACAACAAACAGGAAAAGGTAAGTGCAGTTTCCTCACAGACTATCATGCTATCCAACAATTCTGTCTCTTTCTTCTCATCCCTAAAAAAATGAGGCTGCAGTTTTCCAGCACATTATGATTAGCAAGTTAGTACCAACTAGTAGTAGCAAGAAGTACTAATGAACAGCACTTCAGAGCATAAACTAGCTTGGAGGACAGATTTTATACCTGCAATGCCATGTGTAGGATTAAAAATCAGCAGTCATTATTTTTGAAACAGTTGCATAATATATTTCTTTCTTTTTTGTAAGTGTATATCCTAAATCAGTTTCAACTGCTTGTGCTACATTTCTATATACAAACAGTATTCAAGGGTGTGTATTCTAGCTGACTTTACAACCATTGTTTTGATTTAAAAAAATAAATAAATAAATACTGTTGGGGAGAAACAGACATAACAAACACACCCTTTCCCCTTCCTTCCCTTACTTTTTTTCTGCTCATATTGAAAGATAAGGAATGGGCTGCTCAGGGTGATAGTTGAGTCACTGGCCCTAGAGGTGTTCAAGAAACACATGCGGTACTAAGGGACGTGGTGTAACTGTGAATATTTGTGGTAGATGGATGGTCTGAATGGATGATCATCTTTTCCAATCTTGGTGATTGCGTGATTTTAACATATTTCACCTGTAAACTTAGTTAACATTTGCACAACACTTACCATATTATAAACATCACTGAAGCATAAATCACATAAGCATTACTCTTCAGGAGATTTGCCATTTAACAGTTTATTCCAGGAAGACCCAACATTACCTACCGTATGTTCTCCTGTAAAGTCTGCCATCATCACTGATGAAAATCTTTCTGACTCTGGGACCGTAGGCAACTTCTCTGTGCAAAGAAAATAAGTTCCACATTAGTTCAGGTTCCATTACTTTATGTATATTAGTCTTAAATACATCTATAAAATCTATCATTTGCTGCCAGCTAAGGTCATCTTTAGTTTCAGGTAGTTCCAATCTAACATCTTGTGTTTGTATTTTACACCTGAACAGAAATTTCTTTTACATGTGACAATTATTAAAACAAGCTTTGCAGAGCTTTCTACTACTTGATATAAAAGTATTATGTTAATAAGTAGAGAAAACACTTGGTATTACTTCAGAAAACCACACATCAAACTTACAGTTCTAAAGCCACCTTAAGAAGAAGAAGAAAAAGATCTTTGTCTTTATATGAAAGGATTTCCAAGGCCACCAGCTGGAAACCATTGCATCAGCTGAGCTTGTTACTCCACTGCATGCTGAGCTGGAGCCAGCCTACTCAGCTGCAGAAGTTTTTAGATTTCAGCACAAAGGTGTGGCCAGCAGGGAGAGGGAGGTGATTGCCCCCCCTCTACTTGGCTCTTGTGAGGCACCATCTGCAGTACTGCATCCTGGCCTACGGTCCCCAGCACAAGGATATGAAGCTCTTATAGAGGGACCAGAGAAGGGCCACTAAGATGATCAAAGTGCTGAAGAACTTCTCCTATGAGGAAAGGTTGAGGGAACTGAGCTTGTTTAGCTCGGAGAAAGCCCTGGGAAGACCTCATTGTGGCCTTCCAGTACTTGAATGCAGCATATAAACAGTAAGTGGAATGGTTATTTATGAAGGTAGGTAGTGATAGGACAAGAGGGAATGGTCTTAAACTGAGACAAGGGAGGTTTAGGTTAGATATTAGAAGGAAGTTTTTCACTCAGAGGGTGGTGACGCACTGAACAGGTTGCCCAAGGAGGCTGTGGATGCCCCATCCCTGGAGGCATTCAAGGCCAGGCTGGATGTGGCTCTGGGCAGCCTGGGCTGCTGGTGGCACATAGCAGGGGGGTTGAAACCAGATGATCATTGTGATCCTTTTCAACCCAGGACATTCTAAGATGTGGTATGATATGGGCTGTGGAAGTTCTGGCAGTATATATGTGATACATGAGGGTAGGGCAGTGCAAATTGAGTTGTAATTCAACTATGAATCCCCCTTCAGGATTCTGACTGAAATGGAGGTGAAAGTCTCAGCAGTAAAATGGGGTCAACGAGGAGCAATATAAACTTCGTTTGGTTAGAAATTACTGGAAAACAACCAAACAGCAACAAGCCGTTTTCCATAGCGTTCCCTCAGAGATCACAATTTCCCCTCCTTTAGCACTAGCTTCCTCGACAGCCCCGCTGTTCGTGTGGCTCATCAATTCGCCACACGCAAGCTGGCCGCCACTAAGAGTCACACCGGCTTTGCCCTCTAGGTCCCGGTCGGGCTGTGGGAGAAAGTTAAAGCCGAGTGCCGCCACAGCTCCCAATGGCGAAGCCTTGCTGCAGGCGGGCAGGCCTGCGAGGGGCCGCCTGCGGGGTCGGCGCTGGGGCAGCCGTTGTTGAGCAGGCGGGGCCGGTTCCCCCGGCTCGGGCGGGGCTCTACCCGGAAGTAACCGGCGGAG